GCATTCCTATTCAGCATCACAGCTTGAGCCTCATCAGTATAACGATTGTGGTTTTGATAATATGTATTAAGACGTAATGAAAGGGTTGCAAAAGAGGGAAGGTGTTAGCATCAAGGAAACGCAGTTGGTGGCTAAACGAAGTTAGGCGAGTACAAAAAACACAAAAAAAAGACAAAATTTGAAATTGTTTCTGTGTTCGCTTTTTCTGAAAGCTTAAGACAATCAGAAGTAGCCAAATAGCCCAGAGCGCCAATAGCAATCGCATGTTCATAGGGTTTTCGATAACTCTTTCTTTTGAGGATTGCTTAGAAGCGCAAGCTGATAACAGGTTTTACTTCCCAGCAAAAAACCCAGTACCAATTTATCATCGTTCCTTCTGCTTCTTTCTGTCGTCTTTCACTTTTCCTTTTCCATTAAGCACTGCGACCATCATACGAACGAGGTCCTGTCGCGGTGCTGAGTTAAGACGTATATGAATTAATGGACCAAAACGTCTTATCTCCTTCTCTCATATTGTAATCTGTTGTATCCGCGTCATTTGGGTTTACGGGGTCAATCTGGTTGCTGCAGTTTGCTTACCTTTGAAACGAATGAATGGATCATGAAATTCTGAGCGATGGACACAGATTCCAAACAAAATGCTGTTAAAAATTTCTGTAGGCGAAGCTATTACTTTTGTAATTGCGATTTTTCAGGGCAGCAGACAAGGATGAGAGAAAGAAGCACATTCCGATGGTTGATCGTACACCCCTTCAACCGCCACCGATCATCGTTGCCATTGTTGGCCCTTCAAAGGTACCATTCGTGAATTACCCCTCTAAACTTGGGAGCTCAGGGGCGCACATTTTTGCGTGGATTGATTGAACGGTACCGAAGGAGCAGCTTACTCCACTGCGCTTCTTTTCTCAATAATATTTGCCCGGTTGTGCCAGATGTTTTGAAGCTGATTGAACAGCGCCAACAGGATATCTTGAAAGCCCCCCATTGAACGTCAAAACTGTTTTTGCTCGATTGAGCCAGTTTTGTTCATGCCCCCATCCCCTTCCAATTTCCTAGCCAAAGATATTCATTGTTTGCATCTTTAAAATTTCTGAAGCATTTATTTTGCAATTTCAACTGTTTTTGTCAAAACAGATCTTGTTGTAGGTCGGCAAAAGTACACTATTACGATGCTTAGTGAAGCATTATGTTCGTCATACTTTGACGGAAATCCGAGGCCCAATCACAATTGTTACGGGAAAAACACGACGTGTGACATTTGTTGAAGTCAGC